CAAGAACGCTGCCAGGGATTTTTGTAGGCTGGAGGATCGACGCTGGCTTCAAGCATCGCAAGGTTCATCTTGTGTTGGACTACGAAAGTGTGAGGACCAATGCCAAAGGTTTTGGAAGACCCATACAAGTCCATGCAACAGAGCTTGTCGTTCCCGAAAAGCACATTTTTCCTTTGTTTCAAGCTGAGCAATCAAAGATTGAAGGGGGTTCAGGTATTTTGCCATTGATTTCCATGCCATTCGAGCAGGGAGCACCGCCAACTCCAGGTCGATCCAGAAAAACCTATGTAACGTTGGACCGTGCCATCCGTTTTGGTACTACTGTTGGTTGCAAGGGTTGTGAAAAGATAGGTGAAGGAGTGAAGCACTCCGAAGCTTGCCATGAAAGGTTTAGGGTACTTCTTGAAGAGGAATCTAGAAAGGCAATAGAAGATGCTGAAGCCAAGAAATTGAGCACCGAAGCTCGAGAAAGACTTGAAGCCCAAGCAGAAGCTGGCCTTTTTGAACTCGAAGAGCGTGCCCGTGAAATTGATGCTGAGGCTACCGAAGCCGCAGTCCCTGACGTCCCGGCAGGAACCGTCCGGCCAATCCCAAAAACACCCCAAAAGATTTCTGAGGAACCGTCCAATGATTTCTGGGAGTTTGACAAGGGAAAAGGGGCATGGTGCAAAATCCACATCAGACCTAGGAAACGTTTGTTTGCTCCAGTCGGCAATGACTGTCCATTTGGTGCAGATGATGTTTCATCAAAAAGGGTAACTGAGTGGAAATGCAAGGGTAAAATTTCATATCATACTGATGATTGGCAATCCAACCCATACCAACGAATTTCCTCGAAAAGCTGGGTAGGTAAGACTTGGTTTTATCCCAAAAATGATGTTGACGCAAAGCGTGCAACAATCCAAGCTGCAGTTGCAAATGCAAGGCAGCAACAAAACCTCCTAAAGGGAGAAGAAGCTGCAATGTCAATGTTGGAAGGTTTAACCAACAATGTGCGAGATCCCATCATCGCCATGCTATCCAAGGTTGAAACGCAAAACCATTCCGAAGCTCGCAAGAAGACCGCAAAAGGTCCAGAAGCCATGTTTGAGTTTTGTTGTTCAGAAAATTCATCCTTAGGAAAAGTACACGAAGAAAAAGGGATCATGCATTTTCGTTTGACAAAGGAATCCAATGACCTTTCCGATCCAGATGAAATTGCATCGCTTCAAAAGATGTTGAAACAATTCCCAAATGCAACATTGTGGGGCTCATTGCCTTGTGATCCATGGTCGAAATGGCAAGCACTCAACATTGCCAAATACGGTAGTGAGTTTGCAAAGAAGTTGAAGAAAAAGCGACAGCTATCTAGGAAAATGTTGAAGCATTTCTTGGAAACCGCTGAGCAAGTCTTGTGTCAAGGGGGCCACATTGCCTTTGAATGGCCAAAAGGCGCCAAAGGTTGGCAACTTCCCGAGCTGACCGCATTCGTCAAGAAGCACGGCCTGTACATAGCAGAGCGTCATGGTTGTTACTTCGGTTTGCAAAGCTCTAAAGGGAATCCCATGTATAAGCCTTGGCACATCGCAACATCCAACTTCCGACTTGCAGACAATTTGAACAAGTGCAGATGCCAACATCCACCAGGGTTTCATCATGATCATGCAAAAGGGAGTGAAACACCAAAAACAGCATTTTATCCCGAAGCTATGGCTAGAACAATAAGCGAATGTCTGTATCCCGAACATGTCTATTCAATGCCTGTGATCGCATCCCCATCAAACATGCCCAAAAGCAGCGTGCGAACCGGTTCAAAGAAAGTTCACGGTATGACTGCAAAATCTGAGAAAAGATCTTCGCATGAACCTAATATCCAAGATAAAAACTCCACTTATGCTGGAATCCATCTTCTTCTTGACAGAAAAGACTGGCATAAACACCAAGGGTGGAAGGAGGCCATAGACAAAGAGTTGAATGGCATCTTGGAGAACGGCACTTGGAATTACGACGAAGTCATTTCGAGAGAAGATCTAGTCAACAGAAATCAGCCAATGCACGTAGGCCGTTTGATGACGATCCTTTCAGTGAAGCACTGGGAAGTTCCTGAGTTGCGGCGGCTCAAGGCAAGAATTGTCTTCAGAGGAGACGACATACGGGACCAAGACAACAATCTGGCCGTGCTGCAAGAGGCCAAGGTAAATCCATCCGGGCTAGCCGGCATTAATGCAATCTTGCGTATGGGAGCTTGAAAGGGCACACTTCTTCTCAAAGTGATGTTGTTCGTGCATATACTCAAAGTTTCCTAAATACCAAGGTACCCACATGGGTGGAATTGCCAATAGAACTTGTACCAGAAAAGTATCGTGGAATAAAAAGACCATGCGTCCGATTGTGGAAAAGCCTTTACGGCCATCCAGAAGCTGGGTACCACTGGGACCAGAGGTTCAAAGAAATGATGCGTGAGATTGGTTCAATCCACTGCGCTGATACATTTCAATCCACATACTTTATCAAGGAATCAGGTTTGTTACTTACACTATATGTTGATGACATGGTGTTGAGTGGCCCAGAAAATCAGCATAAAAGTTTTTGGGAGAAAGTTCAAAAGCATATTGAAACCGAGGAGCCAACTCCAGTTGATCGTATCTTGGGGAGACACCACAAAATCTCCAGGGATGAACATGGAACCACTGTGCAATATGACATGACGGATTTCGCAGAAAACGCCTGCAAAGCCTACGAAGAGCTGAGCGGTTGCACACTCAAGAAAGCAGCAACGCCTTACCTCCCAGAGGGATCTCTCGTAGACAGCGATTTCGAAGATCGTGGCCAAATGGCCGAAAATGCATCCCGTGTGCTCATGAAGATTTTGTGGAGTGCAAGGTTAGCAAGACCAGATTTAATGAAAGGAAATTCAGATCTGACTCGTCGGATTACCACTTGGTCGAAAGCAGATGACAGAAAGCTTTATCGGTTAATGTCATACCTAAAGGGTACTGCTTCCTATGTCCTTGAAGGTAAAATCGCAGACGATGCAAAAGCCTTGCGCCTATGTCTTTACACAGATGCAGACCACGCATCAGGCGTCCATGATGTGAAGTCTACTTCGGGAATGTATTTAACGCTCGAAGGGCCAAATTCCTTTTGGCCGTTATGCTGGGGTTCAAAACGCCAAGGAGCCACTGCACGCAGCACATGCGAGGCTGAAATGATCAGTTTAGACTCCGGTGTTTTCGGAGAGGGATTGCCAATGCAAGAATTATTTGAGACAGTCTTGGACAGACCAATTGATCTGATTTGTCAACAAGATAATGCCTCAGTAATCCAAATTGTACATGGCGGATATTCCCCTAAACTTCGACATATGAAAAAGGTCCACAAACTGAATCTGTCATCACTGTACGAAGTTTTCGAACACCCACACGTCAAACTGCAGTACATCAAAACAGACTTGCAACGTGCAGACCCGTTTACAAAGGCGTTAGAGCCATGCAAGTGGAACACGGCCCTCGAATTGATGCACATCAAACCACCATGAGTTTCTCCTATAAGGCTCGAACTCTGCAATCCAGTGGCAGAAAGCGAGAAGGGGGAGAAGAATAAACTCATGCAATATCACCAATTATGTCCAAGCAGATGTATCACCAAATACATGGATTCGTGTCACCAACCAATCGAAGCTGTTATGCCAACAAGCCATGGTTGTGAAGCCATTAGGCTCCTTCCATATATGCATGCATTCGTACTGACCTGTTTTTACGACATCTAGTATGTTCGTAGGGAATCCACTGTTTGTGCATGTACTGTGACATAGTATAGTGTCATAATAAACCAGCCAACAGGTCCACAAATCTATGGACCGGATGTTTGGCTCAAGCGCCTTGTGGAAAAAGGAGCGCGGTCGTTCACTGCTTAGCCATTGACGCCAGTGCACTCTAAACCACATTTTCGTAAAACATGTGGAATGTAGTAATAGTAATGGTAAATTAACAGTTCGACCCTGATTTTATAGCCTAGTTTTAATGGAAACTAGTCTTCCAACCCCGATGACTGCCAGGGTCGAACTGTTAATTTACTGGAGGGTAGCAATAGTAATGAGTGTAATAAACACTACTATTAATATTTATTGTAAAAGTGTAAATATTACTACGTAAACAATAATTTACCATTACTATTAATATCTATTGTAGTACATGATTGTAATGTATTAGTATGTATTATTAAGTCTATAAACTATGAACCAGGTGTTTGGAATAAAATAAATGAATGGTAGAATAGTAGTCATTACACATGTTCAACAAAATGAGGAGTGAGCCCACCACAATTGACAAATTTTAACCAGCATTTTACAATCAAAATGGGGCCAAGCAACCCGCAAGAAACAGTGAGGACAAAAACGCAGCCGGAATGAGGATACTTACCAGCACGGAAAGTCAATACTGTACAACCATTTTGACCAAAGAAACATCTGGGTAAATTATAACGACCTCACTGCGACCTCACTGGAATCATGGTTAGTAAGGGAAATCATCCCAACATGGCCTTAATTCAGGTTAGTGAAATATTATAATTTACCCAGAAACATCTGGACCGACAAAAGTCGGTAGATCACCAAAACCGAAGCACCAATGATCTTTGTGATTGATTGTGTGGAAGAAAATGTGGATCATAAGTGGGCGGCCAAAATCAACGAATTAGGGGCTCAGATATTTTGATCAAAATCATGTTTGGTGAAGTTCTATAGCATGGTCGGTTTCCCATGGGTTCTCTTTGCATCGTGACTCTGGCACCATTCCATTTATAAACTACCCTCTGGTTATTTAACGTAGCTATGGGGAATCACCATGTTTAATAGGTAAATCATTCAAAAACATCTATAAATGGGCCATTTTCCATGGCTATGTTAAATAATCAGAGGGTATATCAATATCCCAATTTTGAATGGTGAAAATCCCTTTAAGTTATGGTTAACCCCCCATGAATCCCCATTATCCCAAGCATTCCATGGTTAAAATCACCAGGTGCTGCGACGAAGCGCTGAAGGTCTAGCTGGCCACCTCTTTGAGTTCTTGGAGCAAGAACTGGTCGGCTTCAGAGTTATGGGGGATGGATAGGGAGATATGTAACCATGATATATGGGATTTCCATATGATTTAAGGTGGGTAACTATGACTGAATGGGATGTAATGGGATGTAATGGGATGTGTTTTTGGATGAGAATCGATTGATGCTTTTTTATTGCAGTCAAATTTGCGTGGAATTCTATGAGGTTTATAAGGTCTAAAAAGTGTTTGATACCCCATGAATCTTAGGCCCAAAAGTTGTTGTTTTTTTTATAGGGTTTCATGAAGTTTTGTCGTGGGAGCGTGCCCCTGCCGCACGCCCGCGCCTATGAGGTTCTATCCACCAGTGGTGGACTCCAACTTCCTTGGTGGCCAGTGATGCCGTCGACGTTTCGAAGAACGGATCCATTGGTGGGTTCACATGATGGGTTAATTTGGAATGAAAATCGATGGGTTAATGATGGGTTATTAATGATGATTAGTGATTATTAATGGGGTATTAGTGACTAATGACGATGTCATATGGATTGAATGTCGTATTTTAATTGAGATATGTTTGACATTTTTCAATCCTGAAGTGTTTGAGGGATCTTTGTATTGGCCAATGGGTATGCCCAAGACGAGGGATAGCTCCGAATTTCGGGGGCCTGCATGTCATACTGTTGGTTACATACCGATACACATAGACATAGACATAAGTGACCCTCACATATTATCCCAAGTTATTTCCCATAGTATTATTGTACCATGGAAAGCCAAACCTTATTTGTCGCAGTATTCTAGATAGTATTCAAATTCAATGGTCTGGCTTAGTCAGGAAAATCTTAACCGGAAACCATCGATTTCCCATGAAGATCATGGGGGGTAGCAGCTGTAGTTGTTTCCTGTAGAACCAATCCATTGAACCAATATGAACTATCATGAACCACTATTAACCATCATGAACCAATCATGAACCATCATTAACCAATGCTTAATGATGGTTAATGATTGTTAACCACTAATGATGGTTAATGATTCATGATTGATTTCATTAACCAATCCAAGAATCATTGACCCGGCCGGAAACTTTCGCCATGTCAGGTCCTCCTACTCCAGCCTCTTTGAGGCGGATGGGGAGCTGTGGTCATACAGCGTGCTATTGACAAATGGTCGATTGGTCTATGGTTTATTAATAGTGTTCTATGTGTTTCTATGAATTTGGTGTGTGTATATATATATATATATACACACAGATATGTGTATATATATATAGAACCATTAATTTCTATACATTATCAGGTTCATTAATTTTTATTACAACATAACTCGTAATTGCTGGGGAAAGTTGTGTTTTAATATGATTTTGAAAATGAGGTTTTGAATATGATTGTTATATGGTTTTTGGTGCATTTATAGGGAAGGGGGGTCATTTCTCAACGCGAGAAAATTGTCATTTTACAACGCGGTATTTAGGTTATTTTTCAACGCGCAAGGGGTCATTTCTCAACGCGCCAGGCTGTTACTTCGTGTCTATATAAGTTTCGTGCGTGCAGCCGTTGCGTTCATTTTGCAACCCGCCATGGTTCTAACTTTCTGTTCCCCCGGTTTCTGGGTTTCTTGGTTTCTGGGTCTCTTGGTTTCTGGGTTTCTTGGTTTCTTAGTTTCTTGGTTTCTGGGTCTCTTGGTTTCTCGGCTTTTTGGTTTCTCGGTTTCTTGGCTTCTGCGTCTCTTGGTTTCTTGGCTTCTGCGTCTCTTGGTTTCTTGGTTTCTGGGTCTCTTGGTTTCTAGGTTTCTCGTTTTCTTGCTTTCGGAGTTTCTTGTTTGGGTTTTAAATGTGACCCCGTAGGTTTCCGCAGTGTTTGTGTTGCTTCGTTTCCGGAGGTTCTTGGTAAACCAACGCTAAATCAGACATAGACCAACTCCAAATAACCCCAAACTAACCCTAAATAAACCCTAAACCAACCCTAAATCAGACTTGAACCAATCATAAATAAACACTATACCAATCCTAAATAAGCCTTAAACCAACCCTAAGTAAACTCTAAACCAGTTCAAAATTAACCCTAAATCACCACCAAATGAACCAGAAACTGTCCCTCAATAGATTTTACACCAACCCTAAATAAACCCTAAAGCGACCTTAAATAAACCGCAAATAAACCTTCAACCAACCACGGAAAACTTTAAACAAACCCTAAATACACGTAAGTAATGGAGGGTTAGTTTTTGTTTTTTCTTCTGTTTTGATTTTTTTTCTGGATTCCTGGTTCCCAGCTTCTCTGCTTCTCTGCTTTTCCCTGCTTCTTTGCTTCTCCGCTTTTCCCTGCTGGCTTGCTTCTCTGCTTTTCTGCGTTTTCCTGCTTCTCTGCTTCTTTGCTTCTCTCCTTCTCCGCTTTTCTGCTTTTCCCTGCTTTTCTGCTTTTCCAGCTTCTTTGTTTCTCTGCTTTCTGTTTTTTTCTGCTTGCTTGCTTCTCTGCTTTTCCCTGCTTTTCTTTTGTTTCTCATACCGTAAATAAACCCTAAGAAACATCATATAATACATAGACATAACCCCTAAATCAGCCCTAAATGAACCCTAAACAAAGCCAAAAACAAAGAAAAACACTAAAGCAACTCTAAGTAAACCCTAAGCATCATTACCTAAATAAATCCGAAACTAATCCTAAATAAACCTGAACCAGCCCTAAATAGATCCTAAACCAACCCCAAATATATGTTAAACCAAGCCTAAATAAACCCTTCACCAGCCCTAAATAGATGTAAACCAGACCTAAAGAAATCTTAAACCAACGCTAAAATAACTTTGAACCAACCCTGAGTAGGTCTTACACCAACTCTGCACAGAACCTAAACCAAACCGAAATAAAACCTAAAACCAACCCTAAATAGATCCTAAACCAACCCCAACTATATAGGTGTTAAACCAAGCCTAAATAGACTTTACACCAACCCTAAATACATCTGAAACCAGGCCTGAATAGCTCCCAAACCAACCCTAAGCAAACCTTAAACCAACCCTAAATAGGTCCTAAACCAACTCTAGATAGATCCTGAACCAATCCTAAATTAATTTCAAACCAATCCTGAATAAACTCTTAGCCAACCGTAATTGAAGCTGTAAACCAACCCGAAACAGTTTCAAAAAACCTTACATGAACTTAAGCATTATTCCATATATCCATTCAAAAAATAAATAGCATATAAATGTAACAATTCGTGTGTGCGCCGAGATGTGTGTAAGACTCCCAAAAGAGCCAGCATCCCTTCTTTTTTTGGCTACGTTGCGCAGAATCTTGGCGGCGGTGAGAATTCCGCGTTTGATTTTACGGAGTTGTGTTGAAAAATGACCGTTTTTTGGGAGAATGACTGAATCTTGGTGTTTGACCGTTTCTTGGTGTTGGAAAATGACCGAATCTTGGTGTTGGAAAATGACCGTTTCTTGGTGTTGGAAAATGACCGGCATCCCCATTTATAGTAGCTTTGAAGCACCACCAAAACTGGCCAAGTTTGCCATTTTTAAGTATGGATGAATCTCCACGTCTATCAGTGCCAGTCTTTGCGCTAGGTTGACCTGGGGCCAACTGTTTTTTTCTCCTCTCTTGCCATATCATAATCAAAACATAATTAAGGGGTACAACCATCAATAATGGAGATATATGGAGATATAATGGAATATACAGCTGGTTTAAAGCCCCATGTAGTACAACATATCCACCACAAATCCACCTCTGAGTCTAGAACCGAATTCCCGACGGGGTGCCCCTTCCGGTGGCATTATGATGATTACAAGACTACTAGCGTATCCCGTTACTCATTATGAAATATACCCCACATACTAGTGATAGTAATTAAGAATAGTTGTATCCCTTTGTGCTAATATATTAATTACCTATCCCATTACCAACGCTTTGCTGATACCATTCCAGCTACTCGAAAAATAGTATCACCTCTATCTCATCCAAAAAGTATCCCATTAACAATCATGATATCCATGCATAACCAGTATAACACTATTACTATATTAAATATATCCCGGTATCCCATTACTATATCAACTTTTCACTACAAATGATACCGCATCATAAACGGTCGCACAAAACCGGACGCTTGCCCCCAGCCCACGCCAGAATCGTGGCATTTTAGCGAGCAAAATCCAATGATTATGCCCTTCTACATAATATTGTTTTAGGGGGGGTGGCAGATGACCCTTTATGTATATTGTTTGACAGTTTGACAAAGTAAACCCAAAACTATACCCGTCTACATATTGTCGCAAGGGGCTCGCAGATTTATACCCTGTATTTATCTTACTTTTCAGATCAAATCCATTTTTTATACCCTTCTACATATTGTTTGAGGGAGTGGCAAATTTATACCGTGTAGCTGTGTAATTTGTACCCTGTGTTGATGAGAGAGAGATCTGACAATTGTGGTAAAGTGGTTTATTATGTCATGTTGGGTGAACGTTAGGTTCTATGGGTAACCATTATAACACAATGACTATGATCTACCATGATTTCATACACCCTCTAATCAAACATTGCAGTGGAAATCCTCCACTGGAAAATTTTCCCAGCTATAAACCTTCATTTATAGTGAATTTCCAATTGCCATGTTTGATTACCGGAAGAAATTCATGCAATTTAAATCTATTATCTTCCCCCATCATTGTTGGTTAAATCCCCATAAATTATCCACATGTCATCCCAATATTATCTCCCATGATTTTACCGTGATATCCGATTATTTCATGTATATTCCAGTATTCCATTTAATTATATCCCATTATTTCACCATTATAATCCATTCTAAAGCACTATAATTCCATTATTATATTCCCATATTATATCCCATATATATTCCAATCAATATTATATCCCAAATGATATCCCAAATTATATCCCATTGTTTCATGTATATTCCATGGTGATACCCTCTGGTAAACTAACATAGCTATGGAAAATCACCATTTTATAGCTGGGTAAATCCACTATAAATGGCAATTTTCAATAGCTATGTTAAATTACCAGAGGGTAATTTTCATATTAAATCCCATGAAACCACCATAAAATCCCATTAAATCACTATAAATCCCATAAAATCCCATCAAAACCCACCATTTTCGGTCCAGGACTTCCCCTACGCCTTGAACGCCTTGGTGCCCCTCGCCTCCAGCAGCTCTAGCGCACGCCTTGCGCAGCGCTGTCACGAGGCGGTGCAACGGCTGCTGCAAACGGCACCGGGAGGAGACCGGGGGATGGTGGGATTTTATAGGATTTATGGTGACTTAATGGGATTTACCCATATTCCATATAGTTGGCTTTACCATAGTAATATATATTAACCATATAGTCATATTCCATAGTTGGTTTTACCATAGTAACCATAGTTATGATCCACTTATGGATGGGATAACTGGTGAATATGGGATGCAACCGTAGTTAATAAGCGGTTCTACAAACCAATTACCCTCTGGTAAACAAACATAGCTATGGAAAACGGCCCAGTCGAAATAGTTGATTTACCCATTAGCTATGGTGATTTTCCATAGTTATGTAAACGTTTACCAGAGGGTATGATATATGGGGCTTTCCATAAATGGAGGTACCCCAAAAATGGATGGTTTAGAATGGAACATCCGAAAACAAAATGGATGATTTAGGGGTACCCCTACTCTAGGATATATGTATATATGGGGATGGGCCGGAGGCGAAAACCCAAAAACCGCAGAGTTTTTTTAACACATTTGGGGATGGTGGGATGATGTGGGATGGGGATGGGACCAAAATGTTAACCACATAGGATCTATTGAGCTTGATTTCACCAAGAAAGCATATGGGACTTGTAAAAATGGGCAAAAAAATATGATGTGTGTTTGGGGGCAATGTATAGGATGTGGATATCATCTGGGGTCTTATGGAAGATATACATATACATATACATATATATATATATCTATATATATCGACGGCAGATTTGGTCTATCTTTAGTATGAACCATATAATTTTAAGGGTACCTAATTTTGACCATACATGCATATATATACAAACATACATACATACATACATACATAGATACATACATACATACATAGATACATAGATACATACATACATACATACATTCATACATACATACATACATACGCATACACATATACATATACATACATATACATACATATACATACATATACATACATATACATACATATACATACATATACATACATATACATACATATACATACATATACATACATATACATACATATACATACATACACATACATACACATACATATACATACATATACATACATACACACATACATACACACATACATACACACATACATACACACATACATACACATATACATACATATACATACATATACATACATACATACATACATACATACATACATATACATACATATACATACATATACATACATATACATACATATACATACATATACATACATATACATACATATACATTTACATATACATTTACATATACATTTACATATACATTTACATATACATTTACATATACATTTACATATACATTTACATATACATTTACATATACATTTACATATACATTTACATTTACATACATATACATACATATACATACATACACATACATATACATACATATACATACATACACATACATACACATACATACACATACATACACATACATACACATACATACACATTCATACACATTCATACACATACATACACATACATACACATACATACATACACATACATGCACATACATACATACACATACATACACATACATACATACATACATACACATACATACATATACATACATACATACGTACCTTAGATATGTTTTATACCTACATATATATATGTGTAGGTATATAATGTATGTAATGTATGTATGTATGTCTGTCTGTCTGTCTGTCGGTTTGTCTGTTTGTTTTTCTGTCTGTCTGTCTGTATGTATGTATGTATGTGTGTGTGTATGTATGTATGTATGTATATATATATGTATGTGTATGTATGTGTATGTATGTGTATGTATGTGTATGTATGTGTATGTATGTGTATGTATGTGTATGTATGTGTATGTATGTATATGTATGTATAGTATGTATATGTATATGTATGTATATGTATGTATATGTATGTATATGTATGTATATGTATGTATATGTATGTATATGTATGTATATGTATGTATATGTATGTATATGTATGTATATGTATGTATATGTATGTATATGTATGTATATGCAAATGTATAGGTTAAATGATATGTAAATGTATATGTTAAGTGTATATGTAAGTGTAATTTGTAAGTGTATTTTGTAAAGTGTAAATGTATCTGTAATGTTAATGTAATGTATATGTATGTATATGAGGTATATGATATGTATTGTGTATGTATTGTGTATTGTAGTGTAGGTGTGTGTATGTATTTGTAGGAAGTAAGGAATGTGTGTATGTATGTATGTATGTCTGTATGTAATGGATTTGAATGTATTGCTAATGATGTAGTGTATGTAATGTATGTAATGTATGTAATGTATGTAATGTATGTAATGTATGTAATGTATGTAATGTATGTAATGTATGTAATGTATGTAATGTATGTAATGTATGTATGTATGTATGTATGTTTGTAATGTATGTAATGTATGTAATGTATGTAATGTATGTAATGTATGTAATGTATGTATGTATGTATGTATGTATGTATGTATGTATGTATGTATGTCTGTAATGTATGTAATGTATGTAATGTATGTATGTATGTATGTATGTATGTATGTAATGTATGTATGTATGTATGTATGTATGTATGTATGTATGTATGTATGTATGTATGTATGTATGGTATGTATGTATGTATGTATGTGTATGTATGTATGTAATGTATGTAATGTATGTAATGTATGTAATGTATGTAATGTATGTAATGTATGTAATGTATGTAATGTATGTAATGTATGTAATGTATGTATGTGTAATGTGTATGTGTAATGTAGGTAATGTAGGTAATGTGTATGTGTATGTGTAATGTATGTAATGTATGTAATGTATGTAATGTATGTAATGTATGTAATGTATGTAATGTATGTAATGTATGTAATGTATGTAATGTATGTATGTATGTATGTATGTATGTATGTATGTATGTATGTATGTATGGTTATATGTATGTATGTATGTATGTATGTAATTAATGTATGTAATGTATGTAATGTATGTAATGTATGTAATGTATGTAATTTGTTAATGTATGTATGGAATGTAAGGTAAGGTAAGGTAAGGTAAGGTAATGTAAGGTAAGGTAAGGTAATGTAAGGTAAGGTAATGTAATGTAATGGTATGTATGTATGTATGTATGTATGTATGTATGTATGTATGTATGTATGTATGTATGTATGTATGTATGTATGTATGTATGTATGTATGTATGTAGTATGTATGTTAATGGTATGTATGTATGTATGTATGTATGTATGTATGTATGTATGTATGTATGTATGTATGTATGTATGTATGTATGTATGTATGTATGTATGTATGTTATATGTTATTTATTTATATATACATATACAACACATTCAATTTTCATAGCCTGCAGCTTCCAAAGAGATAGAAAAGTAAGTTGTTTGGCCAGGCTGGCTGGGCCCCGATGAGTGGCCAGATGACGCCCCAGCCGGACAGGAGGAGGCGCCCTTTTTTCCACAGCAGGTTTGCCATATTCATGGGTAGAAAGTATCAATTTATAAACCATGAGTGGATACTAAAGGTTCTCATTTTTTGGTAAACCAGAAAGTTTATAAACCATTGATACTTATGATTCACTTAATCATTTAGATAAGCTTGTCATTTTTTGGTTTATGACATTTTTAACTGACATTAGTGGTTTTTTGCTGTGGATGGTTGCGAAATCTTGCAGTTGATGGACAAAATCCCCATGGGAAACCCCTTGGAAATGGAGGTTGAATTTGCTGGGAAAAGCATGGAACTGAATGGGAGATTTCCATTGCTATGTTTGATTGAAGGTGACCCAAAATCCGGAATTTGATGGTTTAGAATCCCTATTAACCGGCCATTGTATGGGTATATTTTCAGACACAGCAGCTTCCTGAATCCATATTCTCCATGAAACACCCATTCGTCCCCATATTTCACCCAAAAAATCGCTGGTTTCAAATAACCCATTTTGAGGAACGCGCCGGTCTTCTCTCGGCCTCCCTATGGTCGCGCTGGCCCTTGTTGCAAGGTTTGGCAACTCGACTGCCTGAAGGATGTGGGTGAAATCCCATCTTTTCTAATCAAGTCATGTCAAGTCCCCATTCTCGTTACCCTCTGGTAATTTAACATAGCCATGGAAAATCACCATTAATAGTGGATTTACCCATTAAAAATTGTAATTTTCCATAGCTATTTTAAATTACCAGAGGGTACATCCCAGTGACATCCCTCATTTTGGTGAAACAAACAATTTACGCTCCCGATGTTGGATCACATCCGCCATTTTGCCGCTTGAATACCCCACGTCTGCCAGTACCATCTCCGAATATCTCCGATATGTGGTGGTTCACCTTCACAACACCATCAGCTTTGTTGTTTCATTTGAATTCCCATCATATTCCCTTTATGTTCCAGTTGAAGTACCATTTTTCCTGCTTTAACCATCACCCCCAGTCCATAAGTATCTTGGCCATAGAATCTCGCGCCATTCGGGGGTATATCACAGTTTCAGACATCCATGTACAGGATGGTGTCCCCCAGTTATAAGTTGGTTCATAAACCCATTAACTATCAAGGCAACTGAACGCTATCTGGGGGTCCCATCCTGTACCGAGCACTTCTTGGAACCGGCTATCCAAGATTGGCAATCAATTGAGATGAATCCCCGGATCTTGTTCGGGTAATATTCCCATTAATATACGCAGCAAATGGTGGTTCTTGTAGCTGTTCTTTTGTACTGTACATCCCCCAAAAAGGACTTGAATAACTATTGACTATGGCATGAAAATACCCGTGAATACAAATTGCGTTTCCCTTCCGTCAATCCGAGAATTGGTTGCAAAAATACTTGCAGAAACCCCTATATTGAGGTGTAAAACCAGTTAAAACAATCGTATCCTGTAGAATTTTGATTGAAACGGGATTGTGGGGACTGGATGTTGGCACGTTATTCTGCTATGGTTTCTTGTAGGTTTTCCATCTTTCTACCTTCCCTTTGCTTGTCCTGAGAGATTTATTTCTTGTCTTTCCTCTTTCCTTAGTTTGAGGTCGTAGCGATTCAGCCAACCCGACAATGAGGGCATAATCAGGGCTTAAAAAACATCCGATTTTTTGGAGGTCACCTTTGGAGGGTTAAAATGGTTAAAACCTCTTGGTGAAGAAGGAGAATTTGGCCACATTTCTTGGTTCTCCGGCTTCGTCACTTGTTCTTTGCCGGGATGCTCAGAATGGGGGACTGGAGAAGTTTGGACCAGCTTGCGTGCTTCATGTTGGACACTGGCGCTGGCACTTTCAGATGTTGTGTAACTTGAGGAAACTTGCTTTCCATTGCTTTCAGCGAAGTGTTTCAGAAACCTGTGATTGTGTGCGTGGCTGGCTCAAGAGCAAGAACACCAGATCCAAAACTTGTTGCCAAAAAAGGCAGCCCAGCTTGTCGAGGCTTTCCAAATGGTTCTCTTCTCCGTCCAGTTGCTCCTCCTTCTCACGGTTGCATCATCCACCCGTGTCAATGTTGAGGAAATTGGGCACAAGGCCATCACGCAGCACTTCCAGGACTCAGAAGCCTCAGAGCCGTTGCCCCAATTTGGAGAAGCCTCAGCACCGCCCCAATTTGGAGAAGCCTCAGCACCGCCCCAATTTGGAGAAGGCTCAGAACCGTTGCCCCAATTTGGAGAAGCCTCAGCACCGCCGTTGCCCCAATTTGGAGAAGGCTCAGAACCTGGAGAAGCTTCAGAACCGTTGCCCCAATTTGGAGAAGCCTCAGAACCGTTGCCCCAATTTGGAGAGAAATGCTACGAACACACAAAGGCTAAGGTCATCGGCAAGGACGGAAAAAGGATGATCAGAAAATGGTGTGCTGATGGCTTGGTGTGCAGCAAAACCACATGGACTTGTAAGGTCGCCATCATGCAGCCCTGCAACAAGACCTGGATCCCAGGTGTCTCTCAGTGTGCCGGGACAGGAACCTATGGTCGCACCACTACCTGTGGCAAGACCGATCCACATGGACAGTCGTTCTGCTGCATCAAAAGCATGTTGCCCTTGATCGACATCACCATGGACCACCAACTGGGCCGGAGGGCCCTATACACTAAAACGAAGAACCACAGGAAGACCGCGAATCTCCCTGAGTGCTGCAGTGGAAAGGGGGACTTTGTTGTTAACACGAATTTCTTCCTTCCGAGACCAGATGTGCAGTCTGCCTGGATGTGCACCCCATAGATGATCTGTGTCCACCTGGACAAACTTCGAGGCTTCGAGGTTGAGAAAAGGAGCGCGGGCCGCAATACTGTCAGCTCCATGTGTGCAACGCTAGTGGCTTCGACTTGATATCTGCGGATTGTTGTTGCAGGCCATGTGCCAGGGTTTTCAGGATTTTTTTTCCTTCTCTCAAGACGCTTATTCAACCAGTGCTTTGGTTTGAACTCGCGTTGTTGAGTTGCATCATGTTGCATCATTGCCAGCATTTGTGACCTTACAGTCTCCACCGCAATTTGAAACACGCATTTTTTGCCACACTGAGGTTATGAAGACATTGTGGAAGATGGATCTTACAAGGCAACTGAACGCTATCTGGGGGTCCCATCCTGTACCGAGCACTTCTTGGAACCGGCTATCCAAGATTGGCAATCAATTGAGATGAATCCCCAGATCTTGTTCGGGTAATATTCCCATTGATATACGCAGCAAATGGTGGTTCTTGTAGCTGTACTTTTGTACTGTACATCCCCCAAAAAGGACTTGAATAACTATTGACTATGGCATGAAAATACCCGTGAATACAAATTGCGTTTCCCTTCCGTCAATCCGAGAATCGGTTGCAAAAATACTTGCAGAAACCCTTATATTGAGGTGTAAAACCAGTTAAAACAATCGTATCCTGTAGAATTTTGATTGAAACGGGATTGTGGGGACTGGATGTTGGCACGTTATTCTGCTATGGTTTCTTGTAGGTTTTCCATTTTTCTACCTTCCCTTTGCTTGTCCTGAGAGATTTATTTCTTGTCTTTCCTCTTTCCTTAATTTGAAGTCATAGCGATTCAGCCAACCCGACAATGAGGGCATAATGGAGGGTTAAAATGATTAAAACCTCTTGGTGAAGAAGGAGAATTTGGCCACATTCCTTGGTTCTCCGGCTTCGTCACTTGTTCTTTGCCGGGATGCTCAGAATGGGGGACTGGAGAAGTTTGGACCAGCTTGCGTGCTTCATGTTGGACACTGGCGCTGGCACTTTCAGATGTTGTGTAACTTGAGGAAACTTGCTTTCCATTGCTTTCAGCGAAGTGTTGCAGAAACCTGTGATTGTGTGCGTGGCTGGCTCAAGAGCAAGAACACCAGATCCAAAACTTGTTGCCAAAAAAGGCAGCCCAGCTTGTCGTGGCTTTCCCAATGGTTCTCTTCTCCGTCCAGTTGCTCCTCCTTCTCACGGTTGCATCATCCACCCGTGTCAATGTTGAGGAAATTGGGCACAAGGCCATCACTCAGCACTTCCAGGACTCAGAAGCCTCAGAACCGTTGCCCCAATTTGGAGAAGACTCAGCACCGCCGTTGCCCCACTTTTCAGAAGACTCAGCACCGCCGGTGCCCCACTTTTCAGAAGACTCAGCGCCGCCGGTGCCCCACTTTTCAGAAGACAGCACCGCCGGTGCCCCACTTTTCAGAAGACTCACCGCCGGTGCCCCACTTTTCAGAAGACTCACCGCCGGTGCCCCACTTTTCAGAAGACTCACCGCCGGTGCCCCACTTTTCAGAAGACTCAGCACCGCCGGTGCCCCACTTTTCAGAAGACTCAGCACCGCCGGTGCCCCACTTTTCAGAAGACTCAGCACCGCCGGTGCCCCACTTTTCAGAAGACTCAGCACCGCCGTTGCCCCAATTTGGAGAAGACTCAGCACCGCCGTTGCCCCAATTTGGAGAAGCCTCAGAACCTGGAGAAGCCTCAGAACCCCAATTTGGAGAAGCCTCAGAACCGTTGCCCCAATTTGGAGAGAAATGCTACGAACACACAAAGGCTAAGGTCATCGGCAAGGACGGAAAAAGGATGATCAGAAAATGGTGTGCTGATGGCTTGGTGTGCAGCAAAACCACATGGACTTGTAAGGTCGCCATCATGCAGCCCTGCAACAAGACCTGGATCCCAGGTGTCTCTCAGTGTGCCGGGACAGGAACCTATGGTCGCACCACTACCTGTGGCAAGACCGATCCACATGGACAGTCGTTCTGCTGCATCAAAAGCATGTTGCCCTTGATCGACATCACCATGGACCACCAACTGGGCCGGAGGGCCCTATACACTAAAACGAAGAACCACAGGAAGACCGCGAATCTCCCTGAGTGCTGCAGTGGAAAGGGGGACTTTGTTGTTAACACGAATTTCTTCCTTCCGAGACCAGATGTGCAGTCTGCCTGGATGTGCACCCCATAGATGATCTGTGTCCACCTGGACAAACTTCGAGGCTTCGAGGTTGAGAAAA